TACTAGGGGCTCCTGGCCTTACTAGTAGTAACAAGAAGCTACTAGGGGCTCCTGGCCTTACTAGTAGTAACAAGAAGCTACTAGGGGCTCCTGGCCTTACTAGTAGTAACAAGAAGCTACTAGGGGCTCCTGGCCTTACTAGTAGTAACAAGAAGCTACTAGGGGCTCCTGGCCTTACTAGTAGTAACAAGAAGCTACTAGGGGCTCCTGGCCTTACTAGTAGTAACAAGAAGCTACTAGGGGCTCCTGGCCTTACTAGTAGTAACAAGAAGCTACTAGGGTCTCCTGGCATCGCTACTAGGAGCGATCGGACGCTACTAGGGGCTCCTGGCCTCGCTACTAGGAGCAAGGACGGTACTAGGAACAATAGCAATGATAGTGGCCTCCAACCTGGCAGCGATGGCCTCCACCCTACTAGAGATGGCCTCCGACATACTATCATCCCTACTTACTAGCGATGGCCTCCAACCTAGCAAGAAGTTCGCCACTGGAAAGAAGGACGCCAAAGGTCTTGGCTTCAGCGGGCTTCAGGAAGACTGAACTACGGAACCACCCCCTTACCAGCAAGTCTGATGTTGACATCGCAATAATGAACTCCACCCGCCTCTAGTGAGTGAAAAATGGGGTTCCAAAAATGTGCTTGTCGTAATGAAACACTACTCACAATAATCAACTTCAGGCCTTATCATTATGACAGCTATGTTATGGTTGTGTTAAATTGGTCAACAATAAAAGTATATAGTTTAAACAACAAAAACAAAAACTAATTACTTAATTCAATCTGGAAAGAGGTTTATCATCACACAGGAGAAAGTTTGGTTTATCATTGCAATAGTTCAGAAGGAAGTTTATTATCGTCCAGGAGGATGTCCGGTTCATTATTGCAATCGCGGAGACTGTAGGAAGTGAAAAGATGTTTTTGACTGCAGTTTGCAATTGTATATCATTGGCACTTTTTTCATTATTGTAGAGGAGCAAGTCAAGTTGATAATTGTATTGACAGTAAAATGTTCATAATGGACTCGGTTTCGTTTATATTCAGACCTGAGGAGTGAATGAAGCTTTGCTCAATAAGAGCTTCTTTACCTTGAATCACTTCGCCTCGAGTTCATCAAAGGCCAGTCGCAAAGAAGGAAGTCAAGGAACCCGTGAAAAAGACCATGTCAAGGCCTCAGTTATGAGCTTTTGGGATGTCAGATGTTGTTTGAACATAAACAGACCAGGCAGCATCTTGCAACAATTAATTGGCAATGTACTAAGATGGGGTGAAAATGATTCAAGGATAATTGAAATTTAGATTGTTTAAACAACAGAGTCAGATTCACGAAAAGACACGACGGCCTCTTCTAGACTCCCAAGACTGCGAAGCCAAATGGTGACCTAAATGCAATGAAGAGAGAGGTCAGAGTCCCATCCACATGAAAGGAGCGCAGACAAGTTTGAAGTCATGCCAGCAGCTTAGAGTTTGACCCACTTTGAGCGACACTTTGCTTGAGCTGTTTTTCTCAAACGCTACTAGGAGCAAAGGGCATCGCTACTAGGAGCAAAGGGCATCGCTACTAGGGGCTCCTGGCCGTACTACTAGGAGCAAGGACGCTACTAGGAGCTTTTCGCGACACTTTGATGCGTTTAGCGAAGCAAGCTTTGCTGTCCACGAGAGGTGGCCAGGAGGCCTCGGCAGCGGTGCTGGTGCCAGCGCTGGCGCCTTCACAGGCCCAAATCGCCAGCGCATATGGTTTCAGCATGTTGCGATTTGCAAGGCGAGAATTCTTTGATTTACCTAATAGCGATGGCCTCCTGGTTGGAAGTAGTTGGACCACGGTGTGTAGTGAAGGGTTTCTGTATCTTTGGGGGTAGAGCTGTCTTCGTGTGACGTTGCTTTGCCATTGTCTTACATGTTCGCAAGCGTTTGCATGATCGATCGCCTGTTGTCTTTGGCCCTCCGATTGGGGAAAGAATCAAGAAGGGCGATTCAAGAAGGGTTTACATTGCCTGAGTGTGTTTATTCAAAATCGATGTGTATATATATATATTAATGATTATGTACATGCGGCCAAGAGTAGTTTCGTGAAGACTGTTTCTTGCGCCAATTGACGCCCTATGCATTTCGCAGGGCACCTCATTCAGCGCAGCCGAGATGCGGATGTTCTGTTTTCCTGAACTAACGTGGTTGTTTCTTCAAATTGTTGTTGGTGGATTTTGCACACTCCACCTTTGTTGCAGCTGGAGCGGGAAACCTGCACAGGATGTCCCGGCTACAAGATGCTACAACGGCTTTCTGAGCTCCGACTCAATGCCCCCCTAGTTACCGCGTTCAAGCGTAGTGCGGGAAAGACTTGAACCACGCGCACCTTCTTGTTTTCAGCTGCGCCAAACTCATATTGAACGAACAAGGGTATCGCTACTAACAAGTGCATCGCTACTAGTAGCTCCTGGCCTTACGACTAGGAGCAAGGAGGCTATTAGGGGCTCGTGACGCTTCCATCGCTCGTACATGGATGCAGCGTGATCGCAAGGCTTTGCCTTCTCACCGAGCATATGGGACAGTCCCGCTTTTAGGTAAGGGGTGAGAGGTAATTGATTGTAATTACATAAGGCATCCCTTCGGAAGATATGGGTAGGCTGGATGAAGGGGAGAGAAATTATCTCTATCCAAAACTATGAAAAAGATTTGTTAGAAGAAGCTACTAGGAGCAAGGACGCTACTAGCGGCTCCTGGCCTTACTTCTAGGAGCAAGATTGCTACTAGTAGCTAGAATGCTCTTAGAAGACTCGTTCTCACATCGTGAAAAGGCGGAGAAACTTGGAGGAAAGGGAATGACAATGAACCATGAGAAAAGAATAACATCAAGAAAGGGAGAAAGAACGCAGACACGTTTGTTCATCGCCGTCCATTCCTTAGGGGCAGTGCAGGAGGGCAGTCAACCTTAAAGCAGAAGAATGAAAAACATGTCGTTTCATCCTTTGTTGCTTCTCCAATGCGTTTGAACATTATGTGGTTCTGTTTTCACTTTGTTTCTTCATTTTAGCCTACATTCATATGACGCGTAGTTGAATCAGGATGAGAGTGACATGTCCAGGCAGCCCTTTGGATGACCTCCACTTACAACTGGATGCAGAGGAGGACCCAAAAATACAACATAGTGAAAGTAGAGTGGAAGATGTTGTCATGCTTAGTACAGCACGAATTTGATTTGAAGATCGAGCAGGATTTGCTCGGAGCGAGTGCTTGAGTCAGTGGAGGGTGTTCACCCGGGTGGATCTAACAAGTGGAGCTGAGCTGAGCACCAGGAGGAGGATACTGCGGAGTTCAGTGACCTTGAAGGAGAGCCGCCAACCTCTGACATTGTGAGGCAAGCAAGCCGATGTCGGATGATTTCCTTGAGTCGCCGAATGACAAAATCAACTACTACTAGATCTACTAGTGACTATAGTAGAATTTTGTTACTAGTAGTAATGCCAGAAGCTACTAGTAGCTTCTTGTTCCTAGCAGCGATGGCCTCCAACCTAATAGCTTCTAGCTACTGGTAACGTTCTTGTTCCTGGTAATAAGGCCAGGAGCCCCGTTCGTAGCGTCCGATCGCTCCGTTCGTAGCGATGCCCGAAATGCTCCGTTCGTAGCGTTCTTGTTGCTTCGGGTTTGTGTCGGCGCCAGGTCGTACTTCCATAGAGCAGTATCATCAACTGCGCCAGCTGCAAGGCCCATGGCTCCATGGCCTTTTGAGGACCAGCGAGCCTTTTGGGGGGCAGAGCTTTGCCAAGAGCTCCTTTCGACGAGAAAGACTAAGAGCAGAAGAAGTTACAGGATTGCTTTCGGAAGGCTTCCAAAATGGAGTAACTAACTTTTTGACCCCCGTTTTTGCACTTCAGCGCTTCAGCATGTCGTTTTGTGTTCCGCTTGCGCTTTGGGAGGCCAAGTCCTCACTGGGAAGGCAGCAATGCCTTCGAGACCCTCTACGGTCGGGCGCCTGGCAGCGCAGGCGCTGGCGGCCGTGCCGTTCTTTCCATCCAACGATGGCTGCTACGTGGGTTCAAACAATTATGATCAGGCCAATGCATCTAAGCTGGTATCACAAAGTGTATCACAATTAGCACCTTCTTTGCCAGTGTGGTCAACAAAGTTGTTCAAGATTGTGAGATGGTGATCCCTTGCAGCATGTGTAATCCAATCGGGTTTCTAAAGTTACAGCAAGCTGGTTAATTGAGTCAATTGAATCGGAAACATGTGATGATTGAAAGCTGGATCTTTCAGTCACCAGCTTGAAGTTTGTTCAGACTGTGCTCGATCTTGCGGAAAGGTAAGAGCAGCGCGGCTCCATCAACTCGCCGTGAAGGCAGAGATGTTTGCTGCACCCGGAGATGACGTTGATGTGTGTCACAGAACCCTTTGAAGATTCACAAGAAATTTGTAGAATGTGAACTAAGTTAAAAGGACAAAGAACTGTCCAACCGTATCTAACAGTCCTAATAAGAGGAATATAGGTTGGAGGCCGTTGCTATTGCGAACAATACACCTCCGGGTCCCACGAAGTGCTGAAGCTAAAAAGGCTTTTCCTGAGTCGGATTGCCTTGGTTTAGCTCCAGAGTTTGCTCAGTAGTATAGATTCGGTTTGTTTGCATCTAAAGAAACCTTTAGATGACAACACTTCTTGTTACGTTCGTAGCGTTCTTGTTCCTAGTAGTAAGGCCAGGAGCCCCTAGTAGCGGCCTTGCTCCTAGTAGCGATGCCCTTGTTCCTAGTAGCAAAAAAGAGCTGCCAAGGACACCGGAACATGTTTTTCAGCTTGAGAGGTCAGAGAGTCTCGGAGAGCGAGCCTAGCCCTTCGAATGTAGACCAGGCTGGATATTCACACAAGAGACATGAGAAGGCAAGCTGAAAGGATTGACGAAAGGATTTGAATGTTAAGTTTCGCCTGAACATCTTGGAACCACATAGATAGAAGAACCTCAGCCCTCAATAGATTCTTAAGCTCTGAGTAGTTTCTTAGAAAAAATGCAGAGAGGGAAGTAGAGAGCGTTCAGTTTGTAGTGTGAGTCGTCCAGGACAGGGTTTTAGCTTAGAGAAAAGACCTTGATAACAATAATGCGTGTCTTTCTTTAGACCGTGTTTTTCCTGGTTTTGACCAAATAGTAAAACATCATCTTTTCCCGCCAAACGTGAGACGTATGACATGAAAGCAGAATGACTGTCGCGTCATGGATTCGATCCTGCAAACTGGCACTGCTAAAGGCTCTTCCGGATTCCGAGCAGCTGCTGGTTCGGCCGCGGCCGAACTGCAAAGCACTCCCGGTCATACCGGAACTGGACAGCGCAAACTCAAGCTGTGGGAAGAATGCCTCAAATCACATCACAGTCTGGCACGAAGCATTCACAAGCACGCCAGCAAAGGAGACGTCATCCACGTAGCTGCACGCGCGGAGAACACTGCCAGCAGATCTTGGTTTAAACCGAGCCAACGCAGGTCACTGTCAGTGGAATTGATCCAAATCAACGCTTGCTACTGGTAACAAGGGCATCACTACTAGTAGCAAGGACGCTACGAACGTAGCTCCTGGCATTACTACTAGGAGCAAGAAGCTACTAAGAACAAGTGCATCGCTTCTAGTAACAAGTGCCTTACTAGTAGTAACAAGGATGCTACTAGGAGCAAAGGGCATCGCTACTAGGAGCAAGGAAACGTGGCCAATCGGTCAACAGGTCCGTGGTTCCCTTTTCTCGGGTCTCGGCGATTGGCCAAGTCGCACATCACACCGTAGCAAACTCCATGTCTCACTGTTCTCGTTATGCGTGTTGCGCCAAACCAGCCGAAACAAGCGTTCAAAGAAGACCTTCAAGAAAATAACACCCTAATTACCTAGGAATTAAACAACTTCAAGAACTAGGGCTTTAGGGCAAGGCCTACCCGAGGGGTAGGCGGAGAAGGCCTGCTATGAGGAGACTTCAGAAGATAGCTTGAGTAGGTGACTAGCTAAGAAAGAAGAAAGGTTAGATAGGTCGGAGCAGCTACTTAGACAAGAAGTTTCTTAGGCTTGGACACCGAAGAGCTCAGCCACTGGACTATTCAGATACACAGACTCTAGCAAGCCCTCTTAGGCTGGGGTTAGCAACAAGTTCACCATCATTTGATTTGACCATCCCGCCAGCAACTGCAGTAGGGCGCTGAAATTGCTGTGTTCTATCCGAGTTGGAGCTGGATCAACAAAACCTTACCATTTTTCTTTTACTGAAGAGTTCAAAAATGTTCATCGAGCATGTCAAAGAATGCTCCTGAAGGCCTGAAGTGTCCGTCGTTCTCGTTGCAGCCTGCACTTGTCCTGGCCCAGGCTGAGGTGAAAGCGCGTTTGCAAGTGCCTTGGTTGTGATGTTTACACGTTGCGGTACCCAGTACCCCAAAGTCTCAAAGCACGAGTGCCGTCATGTGTGCCGGTTGTTGTTGAACCGTGGCATTAGCCGGTCATGTTTTGGAAGTTACCTGCTTGCTTTCTGGCGATGGCCTCCAACCTGAAATGAAGAACCCAAGGGACCGACCGTTTGGGGTTGAGGCCTTGGATGCGGAACTGAAGAAGTACGAGAAAGAGAATGAGACCTTGAAGAAACTTCAGGCACAGCATCACATGCGTGAGCGGCAGGCTGACTAGTCAGGTAGTCCTTCGACTGGCCAGAGGTCAGATGGGACAGCCTGGGACAACTTGGCCTTAGGGAAAGATTGAATGGCTAGTTTGCTACTACTAGCTATAGAAGCTACTAGTAACAAGTGCATCGCTTCTAGTAACAAGTGCCTTACTAGTAGTAACAAGAAGCTATTAGTAACAAGTGCATCGCTTCTAGTAACAAGTGCCTTACTAGTAGTAACAAGAAGCTTTGGGAACAAGTGCATCGCTACTAGTAACAAGTGCCTTACTAGTAGTAACAAGGACGCTATCCGTAAATGACTGGAACTCCGGATTTATGCCGTTCCCTTGGACTACTAGTAACACGAAGCTACGATCGGGGCTCCTGGCCTCGCTACTAGGAGCAAGGACGCTACGAACGTAGCTCCTGGCCGTACTACTAGGAACATTATGCTGTTCCCTTGGACTCCTAAGGATACAAGAAGGAAACATGCGGAGCCCAGCCTAAAGCCGACCTGCCGCTACCTCCAGGCACATGCCAAGCAGGCGGAGCGAGACCTAGCTCGGGAAAGAGAAAAGCTGTGGAAAGAGGCCGAGAACCACTTGCTGATTTTTGCAGGGTCATGTAACTGAGAGTTCTACTAGTGAGACCTTCGGTCTTTGCCTTTACAAGACACCTAAAGATCATGAGTTTCAACTCATTCAACTTCAGGTAGAAGCGGAAAGGACCTCCTTACACGCCGAGTTTGATGTGGAGCGGGCCGCCATGCGCAAGGACTTGGGGGGAGAATGCAGCGATCAAGTGGAAGATGGCGAGGGAGTGGGGACAAGCTGAACACGTTTTCCTCAAGCAGGAGGCTCAAGCAGGAGGATAGTAGGTTGGAGGCCATCGCTAGTAGCTTGAGGCATTCAAAGCATCGGAGGCTCAAACTGGCAGGAGAGGCGACGCCTCGCGGAAAATGCAGATCGGCAGAGGCGAGAGGGCTTGCCTACACAGTTTTGGCCTATCCTTCTCGCTGTCTCATCATAGTTCTAATACTGGAAGGCATGCAAACTCAATATTTCAACACCCCACCAAAGTGAACAAGAATAGGAATAATTACATTTGATGTTGGACTTTGCACAGGAAAGTGGCTGCAAAGTCCAACCTTGTTGAAACACTCTCGGCAGAGAACGGCTTAGTCAAGATGTTTGTTCAGGGTTCCAGATTGTGAAAACCTCCAGTTTGGATGGAGTTTGCCACTGCCGATTGCATTCCAATCTGCCGCATGAAACCCAAATCTGATCTGAAATCACGGTACAAAGGTGTTCTCGCCCGCGAATGCAACTATGATCATGAGAGCGGGAAATCATGAGCGCTGTTTGGTGTGCACCTGCCGACAGTTGCACGATGTTGCGTCGGGGCGTCTTTCAGGCAACCCTTTCTTGGCCAACTTGCAAAGCTGCACACGAGTGAGCAGACTTCACGAATACAAAGCCAATGTTGATGAAGCATTTGTACTATAGATTATATCATATTACTGTTGCACAATTAGGCAGGAAGCAGCCAAAAACCCAAGCTTCATGCGAATATCACCGAGCCAGTAGGCATCAATGCAAACCTATGCGACATGTCGCATCCAATTGGCTTACAAAAGGACAAACAATGCGATGGGTCGGGTACTGAAGTATCATGAAGTGCTCAAGCATGCCTTACGTTCATAGTGTCGGTGTATGTCAAGGGAGTGCTGCAAGAAAGTTCATGGCTAGACAATGGGCACCTTTGTCATCTGCCAAAGCGTGCCAACACGCCGTGCGTGCGAGCTCCATGATCTGTTCATCCTGTAGACTCTCCACGGCAAAGGATTCGCTGTGGTGTGCATGGTCACTGAAAACAATAAGCTACTAGGAGCAAAGGGCATCGCTACTAGGAGCAAGGACGCTACTAGGGGCTCCTGGCCCTACTACTAGGAGCAAGAAGCAAAGGGCATCGCTACTAGGAGCAAGGACGCTACTAGGGGCTCCTGGCCGTACTACTAGGAGCAAGAAGCTACTAGGAGCAAAGGGCATCGCTACTAGTAGCAAGGATGCTACTAGGGGCTCCTGGCCTTACTACTAGGAACAAAAATGCTACAGAGAGCATGGTCACTCAAAAAAAAGAATCCAAAACCCATCAGACCTTTGGATTTGGCAAAGATGACAAGTCCATGGCATCTTTCCACACGATGATCCCGGTCTTCAAATGCTTCCATGAGTAAAAACTACACATAGTGTCACTGTCTTCGTATGCAGCTGACTTGAAGATTCCACCTTCTCGGTACCTGAGTTGCACGGCATTTCTTTCTTTATTGTATTTCTCTTTTAATTTTCCTTTTAACTTTTTCCGACTTTTTCCTTCCTTTTTTTTCTTGCTTTCCAAGATGTCAGCACAATGGAAATACATCTCCATGTATAGCAGTTGCTGGCGAGTGAGATGCTTTGGAAGCCCCTGGGTTCACTCCACCATGCTACTGTTTAGAACGTCACTGTACGTCAGTATAGGTCACTACGCATTTCCATCTCTAGCATTTGTTCATGTCCTTTTCCTTTACTATGAAGGAAACAATAGAGTTTTGGTTTTGAACAAGAGCTTGTTTATTCGACCACGCAGCACATATAGTACGCATGTAGCACCTTTTCTGAATGTGTGGAGGCCATCGCTCTTAGGTTGGAGGCCATCGCTAGTAGTAACAAGGGCATCGCTATGAACGGAGCAAGAACGCTACGAACGTAGCTCCTGGCCTTCCTACTAGGAGCAAGGTTCGCTACTAGTAACAAAGGGCATCGCTAGTTCAGTGTTCCTAAAAATCTACGTAGGAACAATAAGCTACTAGGAACAAGTGCATCGCTACTAGTAACAAGTGCCTTACTAGTAGTAACAAGAACGTTACTAGAGACTTTCCGCGTCTTGGTGTTAACGAGTCCTTCTGTCCCTCGAGGCAGCAGCTCCGCGAGGAGCGGGAGGCGGCTGAGGAGCGACAGCGCCTCACCGAACACAGCAAGCAGTCAGCACCCTGGAGGCGGTCTGTTCGTTCAAACCGGAACGAGCAGAGCGGACAAGCAGACCTGACCGTTCAATCCACAACTTGGGAATGCGTGTGAATGCGTTCAAAACACAGGTGTTGGACTCGTTTTTGACGTGGAACCTCATGAGCAATGTTGCTTTTGCATTTGCAAGGAACCTAATCCCGATGGCCTGCAACCTAAGAGCGATGGCCTCCAACATACTAGCGATGGCCTCCAACCTAGAAGCGTTGGCAGGGTCACGGGGACATAATGATATTCCACAGTGGCCATGCGAAAGGGACGTTCATGTTTAGCAACCTTGAAGACCCTGATATCCGATAGTCAACTTCAGTCTGTAAACATGTAAGTTCTTGAAAGTTTCTTTTGTAAGAAATCGTTCCTCGGAGTTGAGTTAAGTTTTGTTCTGGAGAGAACACTACAATGCCAGACAATGCCTTAGGTCGTAGAAATAGAAACTACTGCATGTTTTCTCACACGTGGTGGCGTGATCCCGTTCTCGTGCGATTTGCACTGTGAAGCCTGGGCTTAGCTTAATAAAAGAAGTTTGAACTTCCAAAGGAACCTAAATAGCAATGGCCTCCCACCTAAAACCCGATGGCCTCCAGCCTGTTGGAGCGAGCAGTTGTGCATGGTCCCTGCGCGGTTTCCGCTCTCACGGCACCGGCAACCGGGAAACGCTTCCGGCTTCCAAGCTGTTTGCTTCGGGGCATTCCATGGAGGCCGCTAGTGCTTGCCAACGTGAGGCATTCCAAAGTGTCGAGAATCGCTTGCGCTTGCGCTTAAGGAGTTGGATGCATGTTGATATGAAACAACATGTTGGCGGGAAGCCCTTTGTGCCTAGCAAGACAAAGGGCATCGCTACTAGGAACAAGAACGCTATTAGGAGCAAAGGGCATCGCTACAGATACGATCGATCAGTTGTTCTCCTTAGAGAGGTCTCGGACATCAGTACAAGATGTTGAATATACAAGCCACAATAAGTTTTGACCACCACTCATAAATATTATATATATGTATTGGATATTTTGTATATGTTGATATAATATAATATATATATATATGTATATATGTGTGTTGTCTTTTATTTAGGGGTGAGGCCGCGAGGAAGCTTCAATAGCTAGTGCTAGTAGTAGTAGTAGTAGTAGTAGTAGTAGTACAGTCAACCTATGTGCAGATCATGTCCATGGCAAAGCCACCATAGACTGATGTTGTCCATGAATGGCTACTGTTTGACAACCTGTGCTTCGAAAAATCCTCGTTACTGAGGCTAGAGGAGGAGATGCGAGAGAAAGAGAAGCGGTGAGGAACTTGGTTCAAGCACAAGACAAGTTCCTACAAATTGGTAAGGGGTGCTATTAGTTGGAGGTCATCGCAATTAGGTTGGAGGCCATTGCTCTTAGGTTGGAGGCCATCGCCCATAGGTTGGAGGCCACCGCTATTAGGTTGGAGGCCATCGCAATTAGGTCGGTGCTGAGGTGCCTAACCTGCCCTTTGAGCCTTTGAGTGTAGTTTAGCCCAATACATTATTTGGATAAGGAATTCGAGAAAGGCCAAACATATCAGTTGAGTCGCTGCAGATTGTCATCGGATGTTCTTTTGCTAAGAAAGGTTGTGCACCATCATTGACGCAAGGTTAAACACTTCCTACCTGCATTGGACTGTATATTTAGAATGAAACGTGTCCCGTAGATCCCAATGTTTCAAGCTTGAGGGACAAGGTTCACAATGCATGTCTTTACAAGAGATGATGCGCAAGATATTCACCTATGTTTCTTGGCGAGTGGTGCAATTCTAACTTGTAACGGAGTCGTATTGTGGTGAATAGGAATAGTTGAAACGTGCCGAAACACCTTTTGTTTTGCAGTACCTGATGTTAAGCACCGACTTCCACATGATGCTCACAAAAACCACCAGGTGGCAACGAACGGTGGATCGTTTGCAGCGACAAGTCACCGAGCTGAGCCGAAAGAATGGAGAGCTTCAAGAGGAGGCCAGTCACCGATGGGTGGAGTGACGAGTATCCAGTCAGCTTCAGATGTTCAGGTGGTGTCTTAACCTGCTAGGGGCTCCTGGCCTTATTAGGAACAAGAAGCTACTAGGGGCTCAGGGCATCGCCGATAGCAAGGACGCAACAAATTGCAGATTGTTTTCGTCATTGCTCCTAGTAGCGATGCCCTTTGCTCCTAGTAGCTTCTTGTTCCTAGTAATTAGTAAGGCCAGGAGCCCCTAGTAGCGTCCTTTATAGATATTTCACATGGCTTAATGGAAAGGATGCATGAGCTACACACCATACAAATGATATCAGTCCTTTGACACAGCACGTGTACCATACCATCAAACATTTGTTGAGGTGGCCAGTAAGCTCTTCCAAAATATTCCAAAGACTGTCTCATCCTACCCATAGTCACCGCATTCCCAAGCACAGGTGGCAGGGAAGGGCCTAATGATGGTTTAATGACAACAGATCTATGAACGAAACCGCGTAAGCTTCCCAAGTAACAATTTCAAGAGAGGTTAATGCATTAATTATGCCTTCGCGAAAGCAAAGCATGCAGTCGCGCAAGCTTCGCAAAAGATTGTGCGAACCTTGGCGAAAGCTTGGAAAGCTCCGGAAAGCTTGCAAAAGTCTTGCGAAATCAGTTTCGTCCACAAAAGCGTGTGAAAGTGTTGTTGCACAGACTTCAGCGCGCAAAAGCCAAAACGCAAGCCGCGAAAGTGTTGCAAACGGAACTTGCGAAAGAAGAGCCCATTAGAGCAACTTCTCGATAGGTTTTGAGCAATGCTCAATTCAAGACGAAGTGGCTGCGAATGGCTTGGATCTATAGCAAATTTCGAACAGTATGTCGATTTGTTGTTGGAAACCATGTCTTAGACGCAAAGCCGCAAAACGACCTGTGCCACTTGATCCGAAGCGAAGAAGCTTAGTCCGTGGGACCAACCGAAGGCCCTTCTGTGGCGCCTGGGTGATACATCGGATGATAGTAGCGATGCCAGGAGCCCCTAATAGCGTCCTTGCTACTACTAGTAAGGC